TCCTGTAACTGATTCCCCTTATTCTGAGGCTGTTTTTCAAACATTTGTCCTAGAGAGTTCCAGAGAGTTTTGTACCAGCATTTGAATACGCAGTCCAGCTTGCCACTGATAAATCCCTGAACGTCCTGTAAGAAGAGGCCATTCTCTCCCTGCTGTTCTGTCTCTCATCCATTGGAAGAGTTGGGTTTGTTGGTAGATGTGAGCCAAGAGCTACCAGGGAAGAGGGGCCACACCAGGTTTCTACTGACCCCTGCCCCCAAATGTGATAGTGGACTTGTTGAGGAGTACGAATCGAACTAACTTCCCTGATGCTAAAACTGTTTCCTGATTTTTTCTAAGAAATCCTGCAATTTGCTTTGTCTCCCTTACCATTTTTTATGCTAAACAACCCACAAACATTCAACAGTTTTAACCAGGGAGGACATAACGGGCCCATAATCCCAGAAGAATGGACAGACCATCCAAACTTCCTCCAGAAAGACAGGAAGATCATTGAGGTTAAGAGGAATGTAGCAGCCTAGAAAACGCCCTGATTGTTATCACCTTGTCTGTTCCATCCAGTTTTCTATAAAACCTCAAGACCCCAAGCCCAAGACGGATTCACAGTCTCGAAGGCACAAGCCTGCTGCAAAGCAATAAAGCTGTTCTTTTCCAATCGTCCCAAATTCTGCCTCCGAGTCTTAATCCGTTTTCGATATACGGAGGCCGGTTTTGCAGCAACAGGTGCACTTCCCATCTTGGGCGCCTCCCACCAAGCGCCTCCAGGTGCCTCTCTAAGTTGAAAGTTTAATCAGTAACTACCTACGTAGTTGGCCCGGCCCACAGCTAACAATTGTTCCCGCCTTCAGACCAGAACGGCTACAGTATGTTCGGTCTTCTACAGGAAATAGTGGCCCGCTCGACAGTTGCTAATCCAAAGAGTTGTTGGGGGACACCTTCCAGCAGGCCCCTCACAACCAAGGAGCCCTTCTGACGTCAGGCCCACTGTAACTGATCGCCTCTTCCTCCCCTGGGTAGCCGAGACTGCTGCCTTTCTCTGCCTGCTCGCTGAATATGCAGCGGCGTTTCGCTCCAGGACCTTAGCCTCTGACTTGTAAGAGTCCCTGTCTGATCTCTGACTCTGGGCTCCTTTTTCAGTCTCAAGACTTGGAAGTTGCAAGAATGTGTCGACTGAAGAAAAAAAAGCATAACCTAAAAGTTGAGAGTTATGTTTTATCCCGTGGACATTTCTGAGGCCTCGAACCTTTCGATCGCTCTGACGGACTGCTCCAGAGAGGTAGGGGAGGCCAGGATGTATAGGACTTTTTTATTCACAGAAGGCAGGACTGTGGGCGCCTGCGCCGAGCCGTGCCATGCTGGGCTGCACAGTGCCGGGCCATGCTGTGCTGGGCCATGCTGAGCTGTTTCAGGCCGTGCCACGCAGTGCCAGGCTGGGCCGGGCTATGCTGGGCTATGCACGCTGTTCGAGGCCATGCCGCACCATGCCGCGCAGTGTCAGGCTGTGCCCGTCCGTGCCGCGCTGTTCCAGGCCATGCTGTGTAGTGCCGCGAAGTGCCAGGCTATTTTGGGCCATTCCGGTCTGTGCCGTGATATTCCAGTCTGTGCCACGCTGTGCCGTGCAGTGCCAGGCTGTTCTGGGCCATGCCATGCTGTGGCAGGCCGTGCTGTACCCTACCAAGCAGTGCCGATCGATATTCGGCCGCGCCACGCCATGCCTCCATTCTGCGGTCCAACAAGGAACTTCTGGTGCCTGAACATTTTGCTTGGTAGCTTGACTCCGCTTTGCCTGGCAAAGCAATAAAGCTGTTATTTTCTAATCTTCCCCAAGCTGCCTATGAGTCTCAATCCATTTTGGGGGTAGAGAGGCCAGTTTTGTGCCAACAACCTAGGCACCCAACATGGGGCTCGAAACTCCTTTCTCCTTTCCTACCGCTGGACACCTCAGCTTGATGTGACCCTCTATGGGCAACCCCTGTGCCAGCATCCCTTGGAAGGGCAGAGAGTCGGTGTAGCCCAGCAATGCCAGATCACTGGGGCAATCCAGGACGGGAGAGGGGAGGATCTGGGTCCCAGCTACTCGGGTTGCCACAACCAGTCGCCCAGGCTTAAGGCGGGAGGACGGGAGTAAACGAAAATGAGCCCAGCAGCTGCCAAAGCCCTTTTAGCCTCAGGACTGTTCCTTCTTCCTTCCAACTTCAGTCCAGACCTCCAGCAGCTCGAAAACTTGGGAGAGAAAAGAACTCCGCTAGTGATGCCGAGACTCCTCAGTCAGGGCTATGGTGAGTTTCCTGGTGATGACTAATGCCCCCTCGACCCTATCTGGGGCTCCCCAAGGCAGGGGAGTCCCCGGGTTGACGGGGCTCTCTCCTGGAGAGAGTTCTCCTGAGACAGGTGCCAACTGGATAGCGGTCATGGGCTTAGTGAGACTAGCAAGCTGTTGTTTTGACTTTGAATTTTGATTTGTACCTGCTTTGAATTTAGAGTCTTCTATTTGCTAGGCGAGGTTTGAATTTTGTGTTGTGTGTGCAGGAAAGATCAAAATGAGCAGTACCATTTCAATTCTATCAGACAGTCCCTTAGGAAAAATCTCAAACTCCAGTTACTTTCCAGCTTTAATTCAGCTGAGATGCAAATGTTGTATCTGGTCTTTTCCAGGAACGCTGATCTCACCATCTTTTTAAAAAATGCAAATCTTAGGAAAGGGAGTAAATAATTTGGAACTTGACTTGTTAAAGACACATAGCAATCTTGTCTCTCCTGTAAATATTACTAAGAAAAACTATGAGGCCTCTGTGTTGTGTGTTTGTGTGTCACAGGGTTATGGTATTGCCAAAATTAGTTCAAAAAATAGCTCTATGTAATTGGCTTAAAGGAAATTAAGTGCTTGTATGAATACCAAGAAGTATAAAGAAAACTGACCAAAATAAATTTTATGTTCACATGATCTGGGAAATATTCAGTACTAAATCAATATCTGGTATTAAAGCTAGCTTAAGCTTGTTGGCTTAATTAATATATATATGCCTTTAGAATCATCAGTGTTAGGTGTAATATTTCTGTGGTACTTAGGTTTACTAGAGGGCAGAAAAGACCATATTATATCTGTTGCAAATTTGTCAACAAGGAAAGTAACTCAATGTGGAAAAAGAAAAGCTTTCAAGAAAAGTAAAAGTAAACAAAGTAAGAGCTTTTAGGTAAACTCTACAGAAATAATTTCGTTTGGGGAATGTCTATGTAAAATTGTCTCTCCAGATTTTGGTAACTTGAAACTAAGTGAACAGAACTCACTATCTGTGCCATTTATGAAATACTGAAACATTAATTGCTGGGTAAGTCTAAATTTACCTACATTTGCCTTCTTAGGAAGGAAAAACTGAAGCATAGATTTCCAATCAGGAAATGTTGATATGACAAACAATTCACAATTACTCACTTCTTGGTTTTTGCCAGAGAGTTAACGTTTTTCAGGGTTAAAATTATAATATAACTAATTAAAGCTTCTAAAATAATAAGGGACAAACTGACATAGACACAGAAAATGATAAAAAAATGTATAAAAGAGAAACCCTGAGAAAGGAATTTTATGTGTAATCAGGACTGGCTAAATTTAAGATAAACTTAGTTGAGTAAGTGAACTTTAAATATAAGCTAGTGCAAAACTGGAATTTGATTCTCTCCACAAAAAAGACAAAGTTTTCTTAAAATGTTTATCTGCTTTTGGTAAGAGATTGTAAAGTTTCTTTTACCCCTTAAGTGACATGTTCTGTATTTGCCTTTGACGTATTTTATTGTTACCTTTGGAATAAGTATTGGTTCACAGTAACTGATGATCTTATTTTACCAAGTGTTTTAAAACTTTTTAACCAGCTTCTCAAATACCAAACTTTGATTAAGTTGTTCTGATCTCCAGCTAACTTTGAGATGCTTCAGAGGGAGCCAGACACTTCCCAAAAAGATATTAAACTGATTAGTTTTAATTGGTATGTTAAATTGCATGCAAAGTATTATAAATAATAATAAATCTTATTAGATTATATTGTATGGAAAAATGTTATTACTATAGAAATTCTAGAAATTATATGGAACTCCTAAAAATTGGATATGTCTGAAATGTTACCAGGCATAATTCTGTTTATTGTAACCAGGGTTGTCAACTATAGTGCACCCAGATGTTTAACCATGCTTTTAAGCCTTTTGTCATTTATAGACAGTTCTTGTTTTATTCTGATGCTTTTGCAAAATGCTTTCTCTTCAGATCTAAGAGAAGGACTTTTTTGACAAGTATAGCTTTCTGATAACTTTTAAATCATATTGCTGAATTGGGTAAGAAATTTTAAAAGTCTAATAGAAACTCAGATAGCATGAAACTGTTAACAAAAGGACTAGTTACACTGAGTAAATTGATAAATATGACTGCAGTTTTTGGTTTTGTCTGAAATATTACTGACTTTTAATCTGTGTTTTCCAGATATAAAGAAACCCTTCTCAAGCTAATTATGACTTAGAGCAACTTGGTAAACTACACCTTTGAAAGCAGAATTGAAACATTTATCTTTTTTCTCCATCTGACCCCTCCAGAGACTGGAAACTCTTAGGTTCCCAGCAGCTTTACAGGAAAATTAGGAACGCCACCTCCTAACAAGTGCAAAATCTCAAGGTATTTTAGGGACTACAAAAAGGGAGGAATTCACCTAAATCTGTAAGACAAAATGTGACAGGTTGTTGATGTGGCTTTCCTGGCCTTGAGAGGCCTTTTGGAAATTCAGTCTGAGATTCTTTCTGAGGAATTCCAGCACAGCTAACTTAAAAGAGCTTATATGATCAGTTAATATTTATTTGGCTATGTTTGAATTTAAATGAGTGTAATTATAGAGAAAAATGATTATGTTTTAGTGGATATTAAATTCCAGTTCTGTTATTGAGATCTGTATTTACTAAGACTCAATTCCCAGACCATTCCTTGCTGTTAGGTTATATTGTTGCAAAGTTTAATTGAATTATTAAAAGAACTCTACATTTGTTTCTGAAGCCCAGTAATCTTTTTTGGATGAAGATCTAATACCCCATGACCTGCAACCAGGAGATTATGCATACTGGAAATGACATGATTTAAAGGACCATCTCCAAGCGGGATGGAAGGACCTTT